ACTGCTTTTCAAACACAGTAACCCTGACCGCCTCCAGGTCTCCAGTTACCCAGCTCACATGGTGACATCCTTGCAGGAACTTGCCCTGTGTCCTGTCTCCTGCAACTTTGAAGAAGAGCAAGGATTAGTGTGGCGTCACCTTTTGTGAGTCATGCCAAGACATTAGAAAAGGATTTGAAAGGCTTTCGTTCAGGCAGTCATCAAGAAGTATTTTATACAAGAAGTAGTCTATAAAATTAAGCCTCATTGATATGATACTCCAGAAGGCCTCCAAGTGAACACTGACTTCATGCCAAATACAAATGAATGAATGGAGCAGTGTGTGCAAGAATGCAAGAAAATTGTTGAAAATTTGTATAGAAAAATGCTCACCTCTATGGCAATACATCAAAACAGTTAATTAGCATTATTCTTATGCATTAAAAGAAGTTGTTCTTTTCTTGAATAATTATTTGATGGTCTAAACCTAGTTGGACTTTCTTAATTTGGTTCTACACCCTGTTACCCGTGTATCCGTCAGGGATTCCTAGGAGATGGGAGACACACTCAAGATTCTGCCTGCTCTTTATGATTTAAAAGACAACTGCATAAAGCAATTATCATAAATCTGTATTGATGTGCACATAATTTATAAAGATGTAATCTGTGTAACAATAATAGCACAAAGGAAGGAGACAAATTATATAGAAGCAAAGATTTGTGTGTTATTGAAATTAAGGTGTATTAATCAGAGCTAGATTCTTTAGCATAAGATGTTAATTGTAGTTCCCAGAACAAACACTAAAGTAATAAAAATAATTAAAAAATACAGTAAAACTAATGACAAAGGAATTAAAATGGCACACTAGAAAACAGGGTTGTGTTTGAAGAAGAGCTAGCAGACCAGGAAGCTTGGAAAGAGAAACTTGGGGAAGACTAATTATTTAATTATATTTGGGGCATTTTCAGGTATTATTCTTCAAATATTCTTTTTGCTCTTTTTCTCTCCTTTTCTTCTGGGACTCCCATTATGCAGTGTGGGAAGATAAAATTAGAGATGTGGGTGGGATCTTAATGATCATGCAAAGCCCTGTAAGCTATTAAGCGATGGCAAGGAGTTTGAAACCTATTCAAAGGGCAGAAATACAGTGAGTTCTCTCCTTCCCTTCTTCCTTTCTTCCCTCCTTCCCTCCCTCCCTCTCTTTGTCTTTGTCTTTCAAATGTTTGATTATGATGTGTCTTGGTTTGAGTACTTTTCTGTTTACTCTTCTGGAGTTTGTTGAGCTTCTTGGATATGTAAATTAAGTTTTAAATCAAATTTGGGATATTTTCAGCCATTATTCTTCAAATATTCTTTTTGCTCCTTTTAAATTTCTTCTGGGACTCCCATTATGCATATGTTGGCACACTTAATGGTGACTCAGAGGCCTCTCAGGCTCTGATCATTTTTCTTTCTCTTCTTCAAACTGGATAATCTCAGTTGACCTATCTTCATGTTCTCTGATTTTTTTCTTCTGCCTGTTCAAATATGTTCTTAAGCCTTTCTAGTGAAACTTTCATTGCAATTATTGTGCTTTTCAACTCTAGAATTTGTATTTTGTTCTCTTTTAAAAAAATAAATTCTATCTTTTGATGTTTTCTATTTGGTTAAGTAGCATTTTCAAACTTTAGTTCTCTTTTTAGTTCTTTATACATGTTTCATTTCATTATTTGAACATGTTGAAAATAGCTGATTTAAAGTCTTTGTCTAGTAAGTCCATTGTCTGGGCTTCTTCCAGAACCATTTCTATTGATTGCTTTTTTCTTATATATGGACACTTTATATAATTTAATACAGTAAGTCTGGAAATAAGACCCCCTCCACACTCTCCCACCATGATTTGTTGTTCTTACTGCTTGCTATTATTGGTTTTGTTGTTTAGTGTCCTTTCTGAAGCATTTCTGTAAAGTCTGTATTCTTTGGTCATGCTGGACCATTGAGGTCTCTGCTTGGTTTGCTTAGTGTCAACTAATTATTTGACGGAGATTTTCTTTAATTCCTAGAACCAATAAGTCTTTGTCAAAGGGCCGTGTGTGCCTGTAGGGGCTTGCTTTCAATACTCAACTGCAGTTGATAACTCCATCTTAGTCTTCACTCCCTACTTGTGCAGAGCTTTACAGTCATCCAGAGGTGAGAATTTAGGACTTTATCATGTCGTTATTGAGCATGCACACAACCCAACACATGTATGGCTTTCTAAAGGCCCAAGAATGTATTGGAGCTTGTCACAGTGTTATGAAAATCTCAGAACCTGGCTTTTCCTTTTAAGCTCTTTTAAAAATAAAGCATAGTTTGCCCCAGCTGTTGTTCACCACTTCAAGCAACCATGAAATTAAACAATTGTCTATAAATGTTTTTGACAAATGTCCCTGAGGAAAAGGTTTTTGTTTGTTTGTTTTGTTTTCTTAATGGGTGAACTCCAAGTCAGATGAAATAAAGACAACCTTGCAAGTGTCTTCCAGGGAACCATTAGACAGGTCAAATCATGAGAATTCTCTGGGAAGGTGGCTTTGAAGGAGTCCAACCCAAACCCCTCTGCTGGCTGCCAAACTACTGTATTTCTCCATGATTTCAGGCTATTGGTTTTCAAGGTTACCGTAGAAGTGGAAAGGGAGGGTTAGGACTAGGGCAAGTTAAAATGGCATAATGCTGCCAAGATGTGGACACTTTTCTTGAATAAATACTCTCTGGATTGCTGCAAGCTATTAGCTATTTTACAGAATTCTGAAAAAGTTTGCCAGTTTTCTAATTGTGTTATGGAGGAGAGGATCTTTGGAGGGTCTGTAGATTCATGAGCCTACTTCAAAGACAGTGCATCACCGTCTCAGAGGATAGGGGCAAAAGTGGATATTTTTAGAAGCATCTCAAAGTGATTCTTACCAAACCCTAAAATTTGAGAAACCACTCCTTCAAAACTGTTGCTTGACCACCACATTTTAAAATCAGCCATATTGAGCGGGTAAAACAGTGGAATTTACATATCAGAAATTTTATTTCTAAAAAATATTTATTGTTGAAAGTATTACATATGTCTCCCTCTCCCCCCCCCCCCCATTTACCTCATCTATTCAACCCCTGCCCCTTGCCCAGCCCTTCACCACACTATTGTCTGTGTCATGGGTTATGCATATATATGCATATAAGTTCTTTGTGATACCAGAAATTTTAAGGACTTCAGAACCTGCAACTAAGGATCATATCATTTTTTTCTTGCATTCTCCTCTCCAAAAGAGAATAGAAAACCTCCCTAATCTTAGGGATCCCATGTCCAAATAGTATAGAAGTTGCCATAAGAGCTTAATGCTCTTGCTTTCTATAAAGTAGCTATTTTTGCAACTCCCTGTGTGCTACTAGAGAAGATGGAAGGTAATGTGGTTTAAAGAGTTTTAGCCTTTGTGAGAACCATTTAAATCACATTGCAAAACATGGGTAGAAGTTTAAAACAGCCATTCCCTGTTCTAATCCCTGCTTGAAAATCAACCTGCGTAATTAGAAATAATAAATCAAATTAATAAAGACATAAATTATGGTCTTTTACTTCTGAACTAAAGGCGGATAGATGGATGGAATTGAGCTCACACCCGATTTCTTAATAATGCATTAAGCAGCGGGGAGAATACAGTTGGCCAAAATGAATGCCTACTTGCAGCTCAGTCTTTACTAATGCAGCCTGGAGAGTATACAGGTAAACAGTTTCAAAAAGACTCATAATAAGAACCTGTTTTACAAGGTGGGTATGGGGATTGAGATGGCCCTGTGGAAGCTTTTTAGGAGTACAGCTCTGCCTAAGGCTTCCTGGCCTGGCTCTTTTGCTCAGTAGCTATGCAGCTTTGGGTCCAGTTTGTTAACATTTCTTTTTTTTAAATAAGCAAATAAATATTTTTTATTGATTTCAAAGAGGAAGGGAGAGGGAGAGAGAGAGAAGCATCAATGATGAGAGAGAATGTTAACATTTCTAACCCTCAGTTTCCTCATGTGGAAAGTGAACATCAACATGTTGAATAATTTATAGGGCTTCTGTGAAGATTAATACAATAGTCCAAGTGAAGCTCTTAGTATAATGCCTGGCATGCCCTAGGTATGAAGCATGCATTATGGACTGATTATAGTTATTATTATTATTATGGTGATATGGATAGAAAGTACTTAGCTTAGTGGCTACTGTGCAGATGCCCTAAATCTGTGTGGCACAATATGGTAGCTGCTGGCCACATGTGGCTACTAGAAATGTGGCTGGCCCAAATTAAGGTGTGCTGAGAGCCCTGGCTGGTGTGGCTCAGTTGGTTGGAGTGTCATCCCATACACCAAAAAGTCAAAGGTTCAATTCTAGAAGAAAAAGAAGAAGAAGAAGGAGAAGGAGAAGGAGAAGGAGGGGGAGGGGGAGGGGGAGGGGGGGGGGGGGGGGGGGGGGGAGGGGGAGGGGGGGGGGGAGGGGGAGGGGGAAGAAGAAGAAGACAAAGATGTGCTGAGAGTGTAAAACACACATTGTATTTCAAAGGAATAAAATATCTCATTAAAGGTTTCTGTAATGATGGAATATTATCTCAATAATATTTTGGGTATATTAGACTAAATTAAAAATATTATTAAAATTAATTTCACCTGTTTCTTTTTCTCTTCTTAAATGAGGGTTTTAGAAAGCTCAAGCCCTGACCGGTTTGGCTCAGTGGATAGAGCGTTGGCCTGCAGACTCAAGGGTCCCAGGTTTGATTCCGGTCAAGGGCATGTACCTTGGTTGTGGGCACATCCCCAGTGGGGAGTGTGCGGGAGGCAGCTGATCGATGTTTCTCTCTCATCGATGTTTCTAACTCTGTATCCCTCTCCCTTCCTCTCTGTAAAAAATCAGTGGAATATATATATTTTTTAAAAAGCTTAAGTTTTCATAGGTGGCTTGAGTTAGTGGCTTCCACGTAATTTTCTATAAAAGATACCTTATTTGGCTTACATTTAACCAATTTATTGAATGTCTACTCTAAACCAGGCTATTTGGAAACGAATGTACGAACTACCACAGGCGTACACATGAAAGAGAGCCGTGCCCAAGGCTTCAGGGAGGAGGTGGGATCTGAGCTGGTATTCACTCTCTCCAGCCATCAGCAGGGGAGTCAAGGGTCAGCTTTACTTCGTCCAGAACCTTGAATCACGTTTTAAAACATGGAAGACATCATCGTACATCTCTACCCTATGTAAACCTGACAGCCAGACAAATCAAGGTAAGGAGATGCTGATATCTGAACCTTAATCTTAGTATTTGGCTTCATGTGCTTATTATTTGTCATATAGTGAGTAATAGGTAAACAGTGATGGAAAAGTTGTTTGCCTTTTCACCTCTGGGGACAATTCAATTATTGGTTAAGTATAAGTGGGCTTGTTTAAGTAGGTTTTGTACGTGATATGATCTTTTTTAAAAAAATATTTTTATTTATTTCAGAGAGAAAAGGAGAGGGAGAGAGAGATAGAAACATCAATGATAGGAGAGAATCATTGATCGGCTGCCTCCTGCACGCCCCCTACTGGGGATCGAGCCTGCAACCTGGGCATGTGCCCTGACCGACCCTGACCGACCCTGACCGGGACTCAAACTGTGACTTCTGGTTCATAGGTCGACACTCAACCATTGAGCCACGCCAGCTGGGCTGTGATATGATCTTAACTGAAATTGTACAATCATCAGGGGTCCTCAAACTACGCCCGTGGGCCACATGTGGCCCTCCGAAAGCATTTATCCGGCCCGCCGGGTGTTTTTACTGCTGCTGTGTGCATAGGAATTTGTTCATAGTTTTTTTTTAAACTATAGTCTGGCCCTCCAACGGTCTGAGGTACAGTGAACTGGCCCCCTGTTTAAAAAGTTTGAGGACCCCTGGTCAGATATTCAGACATTTCAAGTTCTCCTTTTCAGTGTGCTTTGGGTTTTTAAAATATTGATTTCAGAGAGGAAGGGAGAGGGAGATAGAGATAGAAACATCAATGATGAGAGATAAACATTGATCAGCTGCTTCCTACACACACCCCTACTAGGGATCGAGCCCACAACCTGGGCATGTGCCCTGACTGGTAAGGGAATAGTAACCTCCTGGTTCGTAGGTCGATATTCAGCCTTTGAGCCACACCCGTTGGGCTGGCTTTTTATTTGCAATTTGGAGGCTCAGAGTTTTCAGGGTAGAATTGGAGGCTGCCCTGTTCATGCTGATGTCATGTTTCCCTATCACCCTGGACCTGCCAACCCATGTATAATAATAAAAGCATAATATGCTAATTAGGCCAGATAGCTGAACAACCTTCCAGACATCATTCCAGATATCCTTCCGGATGAAGCCGCGGCAGTGGGGGCCGAGGCAGAGGTGGTTAGAGGGCAATCAGGCAGGCAGGCGAGCAGTTAGGGGTGATTGGGCAGGCAGGCAGGCAGTTAGGAGCCAGCGGTCCCAGATTTTGAGAGAGATGTCCGACTGCCAGTTCAGGCCTGATCCTGCAGGAATTCCTGTGGGATCGGGCCTAAACCGGCAGTTGGACATCCCCCAGTGGATCCCGGATTGTGAGAGGGTACAGGCCGGGCTGAGGGCCCCCCTACCTACTGTGCACGAATTTCATGCACCAGGCCTCTAGTTTTATTAATAGAGAACAATACACACACTCTTGGAGCAGAGAGAGAAGATGGATTATGATGAATTGATTTCCCAGACTTAATTTAACTTCGTAATTTCTTCAATTCTGATAAAGCCAGAGGTTTTCTATAGTTAAAAGATACTCTTCCCACTTGCCAGTGGAAGAAGGAGAGGTGGTCCTTGAGGACAGCAAGGCACATGGAGTCGTGACTGTGGTCAGCAGTGGAGCCGGCAGGGTGGGAGGAACGATGCTTCCATGCCATCAAGTTGGTTCAAATCTTGTCATTTGTGTTCAGGGTGGGACTCAGGTTGGGAAGCCCCCAGGGTTACAAGTCAGTCACACAACAAACCCTCTCTCTCATCCCCAACCAGACTGAATCCAAACCCTAAGCCAGCCTCAAAATAGACTTGGTCTCAGAATATTCTTAATCATTGATTCTTCCCAATATTCCTTTTCCGCCCTCATCCTACTCCTCCTGAACTGACTGGCTCCTCAGGGCACATTGCCTAGATGAGTTTTACTAAAATGTGTGATATTAATAAGTACTAACAGGATTGAGCACAGTTAACTGGGTGTCTTTATTGCCGTATTTCTCAGAACTTTAAATAGGAGGGAAACATTGTAGTTGCTCAGGCTATTTGAGCATGACACATGTCTTATTGATCATCTTACAGGACTGGTGTTGGGCAGAACACTCTTATTGGAATGGTTTTTCCAGAAGCAGGGCCTGAAATGGTTGATTCTCATTAAGAAGTTTTAAGCGGTGAGGAAAGAGAATGAGCCAAGCCAAGACGTGGGTTCGGATTAAGGCTAGTCTCCACCTGATCTCAGGGGAACTATGAAATGTGAAATGTATCACAGAGGTTGTCCCCCACACATACCCAGAGGCATGGGGACGAGACTGTCACACTCCCACACTCATCAGTCATTGGTTTAAGACCGCACCGCCCTCTGACGACACTGCATCACTTTACAGGCCTCTCTGGGCAAGGCAGCCATGGTCAGCCAAGGGCTGGAAAAGGGTGTAGGTGTGAGCAGTTAGCAACCAACATCCAGGAGCTGGAGGACAGGTGCCCTGGCCCAGTTAGGAGATCTGCTACAGTCACTCTAGGGAAAACCTATGCCAAGCCCCAGTTCTTCCCATGGCTTCTCCGCAAGGTTGCACGAGAATCAGACCAGTTTGGGGAGCACCAGACATTATTCAGTTGGCCATTCCCACTCCCCATCTCCATTATCTCTAAGACAGAGGTAAGCTGTTTTAGAGATAACTTATCACAATGAAGGGGAAATTCCATCTTGAAGATGTAAGACTATGAAGTCAGAATGAAAGGTTCTCATCTGTGCGAATGCATATATAGAAGAGAGGAGATTTCTTAGGGAAATGGGTTTTGAGACCCCTGGGGGAAAATGGGCTTTCTTGGTTTAGAAGGAACATGTGGGGAAGATAGAAAAATTCCCATGCCCCTCAGTCCTTTTTATTTTAAAATAATTCTATATGTACAGAATTTGTTTTGTGCAAGAATAGCACAAAACCCATTTTCCTGAGCCATTTGAGAGTAAGTTGTCAACACAATGCCCCATCACTCCCAAATAATTTAGTGCTTCCTATAAACAAGACAATTCATTGTATACTTATAGCACAACAATCAGAAAATAAACATTGATTCATTACTACCATCTAATACACAGACCCCATCTGAGTTTTGCAAACTATCCCAATGTTCTTTTAATTTATATATATATGTAAATATATAATGTGTGTGTATAATGTTATATATATATATGTGTGTGTGTGTATATATATATATATATATATATATATATATATATATATATATTATACTAGAGGCCTGATGCATGAAATTTGTGAGTAGGCCTTCCTTCCTCCAGCTGCTGGCACTGGCTTCCCTCTGGCACCTAGGACCCAGGCTTCCCTTGCAGCCCCAGCTTCTTCTGGAAGGTTGTCCAGTCAAATTAGCATATTACACTTTTAATATATATACTAGTGGCCTGTTGTAGGAAGATTCCTGCAAGAATAGGGCTTCCTCAAGCCTATTCCTGCAAGAATAGGGCTTCCTCAGGCCAGAGCGAAGCAGAGAAGGGGCGGGCTTCACTCCTGTCTCCGCTGCCCCTCTTGCTTCCCTCCCATCTCTGCTGCCCTGCTTGCTTCTCCGCAGCTTCACTCCCTTCTGCAGCGCTTGGCTTCCTTCTATGCTGTCTTCAATCTTCGCTCCATGCCTGCTTATGCAAATTCACCCCATCTTTGCTGGGTTAATTTGCATACTCACTCTGATTGGCTTGTGAGTGTAGCGGAGGGATGGTCAATTTGCATGTTTCTCTTTTATTAGTGTATATATACATATATATACACACATACACACACATATATACATACTATATATTATTACCCTCTGTGCCTCCAGCTCATGTTTGGGGCCCAGGCCCAAGGTCTCTGGGGAATCCTGGGGCCTGAGCCATTTCAGTGCATGGATGATGTGTGGCCCTTCCTCCCGTAGCCTTTATAAGCTTTGGCTATTGTCACATAGAGGCTATTGCAGAATCTTAGGCAGCTGCTGTTAGACTTCAACATGTTTGTCCTGGCAGAAATTTGGGGAGTAAAAATGGGGGATTTTCTGCCCAACTCTGGCCAAGGGAATTGGCCGAGGTGGCCGCATGGGCCTGGCTGTGCCTTCTCCTCAGAGGTCAGGGCTGCAGCCCCCAGAGCCCTTCCCATAAGCTTTGAGGTCCTCTCCCATTTGTTCTCCCAGCCTTTGGAATGGGTGTTGCTTCTTGAGGTTATACTGTCTGTGTTATGTCAGGTTTCCCTTTTCACCTTTTTATTCCTCCAGTACTTGTTGAATTCCCTACGTTGAATTCTCTGTTAAAATAACTACTGTAGCCCTAGCCGGCTTGGCTCAGTGGACTGAAGGGTCCCGGGTTCGATTCCGGCCAGGGGCATATTCCCGGGTTGTGGGCTCGACCCCCAGTGCGGGGCGTGCAGGAGGCAGCCAATCAATGATTCTCTCTCATCATTGATGTTTCTATCTCTCTCTCCCTCTCCCTTCCTCTCTGAAATCAATAAAAATATATTTTAAAAAAATAAAATAAAATAACTACTGTGGTTGCTGTTTTCCTGAATGGATCCTGACTGCCACTCTTGCTAAAGATTGTAATGCTTCTTGGAGCTCAGAACAAGTGAGATAGATTGGAGTAAAGATCATATGGAAAAAAAAAAAAGAAAAATGTAAGAAGAATGGAGTGAATCAAGCCAGGCTTGATTGTCATGGGAGAGAAAATCTACACCTGGATTGTGGGGAGCATCTGGAAGACTTGCTGTCTCTGCCTGGTTATCATCATGGTTTTCTAAGCACCTATACCTTTGCCCAGGGGGTGCTCACAGCCAGTTTCTTAGGGTGAAGGCTGAGGAAGCACCAAACACTGAAGCTGGGGCAGAACAGGAAACTGGCTAGAAGATCCTCAAATTCACCTTGTCTCCTCGGCCCCTTCCTAGGCAGCATCCCTACCGTCCTTGACCTGTGGCAGGACCTGTCTCGTCCTCATTTCTGCATACCTGTGTCTCTGTGCATCGCCTTCCTTAGGCCTCACCAGACTTAGGTTACCCTACCAGATTGGGTGAGTGTGTGTGTGTGTGTGTGTGTGTGTAGGGGGTGGGGGGGATGGCTTCAACATTACTAACTGGCCCTTCATCCCTGGGCTCCCATAGAGAACCATTTCCTTTCTGTAGGTGTCTTGTCAGAGAAGATTACTTGACCCAAATTTCTAGGTCACCAACAGCTTAAAAGAGACACCCACTGGTCTGGCAAGCTCACTTTCAATAGAAAGTCCATCAGAAAATAAATATTTGCAGCTGCATCCCTGGTGGAGGTGGAAATTGAAATTTGGGGTTCTGTTAACACCTCTCTTCCTTTCTCACTCACATGACCTTCACTCCAGAGTGCTTATGGCATACCTTGCAGTGGGAGGTTGGGCTTTCACTTCACGGACGTGTGACCTGTGTCGTTGCGCAGGCCCTCATACTTGGTTTAATGCTCAGCTGACGCCATCTTGAAGTTCATGATAATTTTTCTTTTCAACAGGGGCCCTGCGTTTTGTATTGGGGCCCAGTGCAAAATGAAAGCACTATGTGATGGGAAGTGGTCTCTGGTGACCTCATTTCCTATTCTTCTCCCCTCTGCTGTCCTGTGCTTTGTCTGCTTCAGCTGTATGGCTTCCTTCTGGAAACACACCAGATGTATGCAGACCAGGTCCTGGGCTAGGCGCTCTCCGTGCTGGAGGGAAGGGTTATTCCTAGGCTATATGGTTGATGGGCATTTTGGAGCACTTCTTCTTTCCCCACGTGGACCCGCGAGTCTGCGTCCTGGGCTGTGTTCCCTGGATGTGTGGCTCAGGGAAGCTACAGAGACGGGTGAGAAAGCAGACAGGAGGGGCCAGTCTCCTTGCTCAGCAGGACCCTGCCTGGGGTTTGGACCAGGATTCAGCCCTCAGGACTCCATGTTGCTCCATTCAAGACTGACTTACCCATGGGCTTTCCAAAGGAGAGGAAGAGTTTGAATATGGACCTTGTAGAGCTGGGGTGGCCTCAGGTACTGATGAGAATGTGAGAATGCGTGTGTGCGCGTGCACGTGTGTGTGTGTGTGTGTGTGTGTGTGTGTGTGTGTGTGTGTGTAACTGCAGGCTGCTCGGCACATAAGGACTCTGTCTGAACTCTAACATGGCTTCCAGCAGCATGAGGCATGTCCCTGGGATGACCCCAGTATGCCCTCCCCACCCCTTCTACTCCCTCACCTCTAAAATGTCTGCCAGAGAAAGCTCGAGGATGCCAGGAAATTTTGCTGCTTGTTCTAGGCCCTCCCGGCCACCCTTTCTTAGAGCCTTTACTGAAAAGGGCTTACAATTGTGAGTCCTTCCTCTGTTCCTTGGAGATGTATAGTATCTTCCACATCTTAGGAGTGTCTTTCCCAAGGACCTGAAAGCCATTCCTATCAGGGAGGATAGGGCCGCTACCTCCCAGTCTCTGAGAGAGGCTAGATTCCTAACTTTCATAATTGCCAGCTCACCCACACAGCTGGCCCAATCAGCACTTACACTGACCAACCCTTCGTCATTTTTACTTGAGTCCTCACTCCCTTTCCTCCCTTTAAAACACCAAGTCACGCCCAAGCCGGCTTGGCTCAGTGGATAGAGCATCAGCCTGAGGACTGAAGGGTCCTGGGTTTGATTCCAGTCAAGGGCAAATGCCTGAGTTGCGGGATCGATCCCCAGTCGGGGGTGTGCGGGAGACAGCTGATTGGTGATTCTCTCTCATCATTGATGTTTCTATCTCTCCTTCTCCCTTCCTCTCTGAAATCAATAAAGAAATTTAAAAAAAATTAAAAAAAACACCAAGTCACATCTGCACAAAATCAGAAAGGAGTTCAGTTCTTTCTTCTACTGTCAGTAGTTACTGAGTAAAATCTGTTTTTATGAACTTAACTAACATCAGCTTTATTTATTTGTAATACTGTGTATACCTATATAGCAAGATATTTATGTCAGTGTCCCTACTGTGTGCTATGGACTCTCGGTAGAATGTGTGGACAGATCTCCAGAAAGCTATCCTGAACTCTAGAAATACATTACAAAGCCTCTGTTTCCTGATAGTCCATCAGGAGATTCTCTTTGTAGGCAAGGAAATGTATATTCTGCATTCAAGTCAGTTTAATAACATTCCTGGAGGCCCTGTTCTGTGTCAGGCACTGGAAAGGGCTACTTTATGCACAGATTTTATGCATAGATGAGGGCTTGTCTCTGGCCAAAGTAACCATTGTACATGTATATAAACATAGCATGTTTGACAAACATTCCTAGCAGGCAGCTGTAGAGATGATTGCCCAGTTGGTTGGCAATTGTCTACAGCACCAATACTAACCTGCCCCTCCCTATTGACCCCAACATCCATCATTACTTGTGGCCTTGCCTCATACTTTATTGAGAAAGTAGAGGAGTCAGACAATGACAATATGTCCATGCTGTCGAAACATCAGCTTATATCTGTGCCAAACTCTCTCTGCCATGGATAAGTCATCCTTACTCCTAATATAGGCCATCCCCCTCCATTTGTGTAAAATATGTGTATAATTGTTTTGTTGGGCCTATAACACAGAGAAATATAAGATATGTGACAATAACAGTATGAAGGAGGTAGATAGAACCAAAGTTGCATTGGAGAAAGGAAATGATACCAGATGGTAATTGGAATACATAGGAACAAATAAAGAGAATTGGAAATGATAAATAAGAAATTTAATATAACTCTGTAAATATATACTTTCCTTTCTTTGCTTAGTTTCTTTAATAGACAAAATTATATATAACGTATTAATTATAACTGTATTGTTGGGCTTGAAAGGCATATAAATGTATTTAGTATCACAATGACAGCACAAAAAGTAGGAAGAGTGAATACAATAAGATTAAAGTGAATAGAATAAGATTAAAACAAAAAAGCCAAGAAAAGTAATGGACAACATAAAGTAAAATAGCATTTCATTTTAACTATATCAAGAATAACATTAAATGTGAATGGAGTAAACAATTCAATGATTAGGCTGTTATTATTAAACTGGATTTAAAAACCACACAAGATTCATTTATAGTCTGTCTACAAGATACACATTTTATATTAAAAAATACAAATAGATTAAAAGTCAAAGGATAGAAAGATATGTATCATGTAAACAGCAATTGAAGAAAA